ATAATAATAATAATAATAATAATAATAATAATAATAATAATAATATGAGATTAGTCATGAAGCTAGGAGAAAAAGGGCCTTCTCGGTGATGGCTCCCCGGATGTGAAATACCTTCGCCCAGGGAGGTCTGCCGAATGCCTACTTCAATGTTCTGTTTTTTTAAGGCAAGCTCTAACCTGATTCACTGTTGGTAATGCTACATTCGATGTTACTGTTGCTGTATTTCTTAATATAGTTTTATTTTGTTCTTTTTATTCTGGGAGCTGCCCAGATAACTTCCAGTTCTAGGATGGTGACCAATAAATAAATTTAAATAATTTATATTCAAATCTAAATAAATTTAGATCAAAATTTAAAATATAGAAGAGCCAGCTCTAAGCCCAGCCATACTTAAATACCGACAGTGCCTGATCTAAAAAACCCTCATGGCATGAAAAACATATTCTTGGCTGTTCTTACTTCAGACTAGGCATGATGGAACGTCTGATCACATTCCTTTCTTGTAGAAATCAGGAAGGCAGACATAATGGTTGCAGTCTAACCTTTCCAGCAAGAGGCTAGTTGGCTATGTATTCGGAGTATTTAGCAGAGGAAGCATCTGAATATGGGACCTCAGCTGGAATCTGAAAGGGAACTCTCTAGGAACTGCTTTACAATACGATGAGTAGCTTACGGTGGAGGTGGGTGACTCCAAAGTCATTGGCGTGATATACCCACTCCAGATCCTGGTCTAAACTTTGAAAGAGACATCCATGGTGCTGAACCTATTTCCAGGGGGGGCATGGTTAAGGACTATGGACAGCTCCTTTTAGGTTCAGACTAGAACCCAGAGTGGATACACCAACTTCCTGACTGAAGAAGCTACCAGCCTCCGCTGGAGTCAAGTCTAGACTTTGTGTAGATTCGCTTGCCTTTGGAAGAGTCTGATACAAATTAAAGAACATTTAACTTATACTAGGCTATTCACTTTACTACATTTCTCACTACAATTACTGCAAACAATGCCTAATCAGTTAGACTTCATTCAATGGCCCTCATTTTCAGTGTTATTAGTATCATTAAATCCAATTAAGTCCACTCTGATACCAGCCATCAAAGGCAGTGCTGCATATTTCACATAAAATAATCTTAATGAAATAGTCATTTCAGCAAGAAGTCAAATGCTAATCTATGATTACCCTATCCAGAAAGTCAATTTGCTCTCATTGTTACAGATCAAACAGAACAGTTAACAACAGCACAATGTATACACTAAGACTACTGAAAATAAGAGGCCCCATGAAAAGCAGTGCGGGAAAAGTCAGAATTTGCAGACTGGATTTGTATACCTTGATCTGAAAATACAACGGATGAATGAATGAATAAGTGAATGAATGGCATTAAGAAGCTGTGGACTTTCATTACGTACCTGGTGCCATCAACCTGCTCTTTCCTTTAGGAGAATTGAAAGTAGAAAGCAACAGGAGGAAAGCAAGGAGAAAGAAAGCATGTGTTAAATTCAGCAGATATCTCTGATCATTTGTCTTAAACAAGCGCACCCCTAGCAGGTCTTTCCACTTTTGTTCCTACATTGGCTTCTCCCAGGCCTGGCCAAAGCCCTGCTTCTGCCTGAGTGGAAGGACAAGACGGCACTATCTATCTTTCCCATCAGAAGCCTTGCGAAGACTGCCAGTGGTATCTTGACTCGGTACCGGAGAAGTGCCAGCATCCTCACATGCAGTTGTGCTGTCCAACATGTAGGGATGGCCAGTGGGTTGCCATTGCCACCCTCCTGGCATTTGCAGCCTGAGGCAGTCAACTCACTTCGATACATGGCAGACGGACGCCTTCCACACACACACTGAGCACAAGGCTGCCAAAGGAGGGCAATGGCAGAATAATCCTCAGAGTGCGTGGCTACAAGACACAGCCCCAGCCCTGGCTCCAAGAGCACCTAATCTGGTTCTGCACAGGCATTCAACTCCCATCTACCCCAGGAATTCAGAGAATTGTACCCTATGCACTCTGCCAATGGGAACTGGCACAAATGGTTCCTGTATGGGGGGCTCCTGTTCAAAGTCCTAACCAGCCAGCCATGCCCTTTTTGACAATACTCCATTCCAGTCCTGCTCCTGATCTCCTGTTTTTAATTTCTCAGCATTTACTGTGTTCCATGCACATGAGACATGGTTTTACTCCTCAGTGGGCTTCCTCCCCACCCAATCATGATTTCCCCCCTAAAGTTTTGGTAGGACTTCCAACCTTCCAACCTGCTAACATTTCCTGTGGTGCCATTTTGTCCACATAAAGATCTTCACTCGGAGAACTGCCATCATTACAAGTACACAGTAGTCTCTCTGCCCACCTGCTACCCAGCTGACCCTTCCCCATTGCTTTCTTCTCATGTTCTACCTGGATAAATGATCATATGGAACCCGAAAAATGGACTGTGTGTTATACTGAGAACTGCTCAAAGCAACAGACTTGCCTGAAGTATGGGAAAGATACAACTGATTCATAAAATCTCCAAGTGGCAACAAGGTCCATCCTATTGGGATTGGTAGCATAGTACCTCCAGGCAGCCTGAAGAACACAAAAGCAGGGACCACATTAGTGGACAGAAAATACATGCATCAGTGGTGCAGAACTGCTTTGAGTGTGAGGGCTGAAGCTCTTGGTAGGCAGGGCTGAAGGCAAGCGGAAGAACCAAAGGCAAAAGCAATGAGACCAGCGTTACCAAAATTATAGCTTACAGCTCCTCATGCCAATGAATCGTGTGTAAAAGAGGCTTTTTGACCATTCACAAGGTGGAAAAATGCACAGGGAACTAGGCGTCCATGAAGAATCTGCACGGAGGTGGGAATCTGTCGGATCCCTTGAGCTCAGCTCCCTGGACTCAGGTCCACTCGCAGCAGCCCTGAGCCTGAGTTTCTGGTGAGTGTGCTTGATGTTCATGGGGTGCTCGTCAGCATTGGCCCCATGCGCTTTTCAAGCGCCATCCTTCTCCCACATCAGGTGCAAGCACCATTTGTGCAGCTGCACCTGCCATGGAGGAAGGGTGCCTGTTGTACAGCCTTCATTCTGTGAGCATTCACAGACTTCCTCTTGGCTCAGCTGCATGTGCAAGATGGCCAAGCACAAGAGGATGCCCTTGAATGCTGGGGGCTGCATCCAACCCTACAGGAAACCACCAAATGAACGGTGGCTGGGAAAAGGAGGGCAGCCAGAGGAGGGGGCTGTGGCTGCTTCAGGACCCAGGGATGGCTGGACTAAGACCTGTGGCCCTGGGACTTGAGGCTCCCCCCCACCCATTTGCTTCGAGGCAAATGCTGTAGGTTAATATGTTTCTAAATTTCTGTCTAAAATCAAAATAACAGGACGAGATGCAAGAGCCCTTTTCTGGTGCTGCCTTCTACCTCCTAGACAGAAAGGCCCTGTCTTCCACCCAGAATAGCAGTGTGAGATTTTAGGGCTCTCTGGTGTCTGGTGGGAGAGATACGTAGCTATCTTTGAGGCACAAGATGCTGACTTGGCTATTGAAGCACAAACTCTGCTCATGTGGCTGGAAGTGATGCAGTAGCACAGAGTTGGATCTTCCTCGAATGCTCTTTGGAAAGATGCGGCATCATGAACAGTACCATCCTCTAGTGTGCTGGAGAAGCAAAGCATGGCATCTATCCAGAGCAAGGAGGAGAATCGGTGAATGTTGTTTCTGCCCCAAAATGCACCCACTCCCTCAAGAGGAGGAGGGCAGTGTCTCCCCATCCTCCATCACCAGACATCTTTTCCCAGATTTGCTAAAATGCTCCAAGTGGAAAACTTTTGCAGAGAAAGCTTTTTTCATTTCCCAGAAAACTTAGAACTGCATGGAAAACCTGTTAAGTTATCAGTGGAGACCTTTGGTCCAGCCCTACTTTTGCAAGTTTTTCTGGGGGGAAAAAATGGAAAGGCTTCTAGTCTGTTCCTGTATGTCATGAAAAGATGTGTGAAATGTAAACAGCTCCTCCGCATTTCCTCTGCCAAAAGATCTGAGAGCAGGCAACCCCTGTGGCTTTCAAAGGGCCTAAGAACTGTGTGTACTTCAAACTGTGTGTGATGAGCAGACCGACCTGTATGAGTTCGGCTGCAGGCTTTCTTCTTTTCTCAAAGTGCTTTTGGCGATGTTGCTCCTGTACTTTCAGAGCCAGTCCTGATCCCAAAATACCCTGAAAGCAAAGTTGAGGAAAAATGCTTCAAACAGCATATATTTTATATCTGCCTGCCTGTATTTATCAAAATCAAATGTATATGCCAGGAAAATTACAATCATGCAAAAACAAAAGCAATACAGGAACAAGGGAAACAACACTGAAAAGACCAACAGAAGGAAACATGAAAGCATTAAAGACATTTCAGGGGCAATCCTATGCATGTTTAGCCAAAATACAATGCCTGGTATGTTCCACAAACCATAAGGCAGAGCACCATGGAAGGACTATGCTAAAGCTGGTGGAGGACAAGATAAAGAAGGTTCTTTCCTTGGTAGATACCCAGAGCATCATTGTGAGTAGCAGCACCCACAACAGAGCCTCCAATGTTTACCTGAGCAGTTGGGCAGAAATATGTGGGTCACTGCTGAAACTTTCAGAGTGAAAGCAAATGGGAGAAGGTTTCTCCATGGTTCTTTGCCCTGAATGTGGAAAAGAAGGGGCTTGGTTTGTTCTAGCTAGGGAGGGGAGCAAGAATCAAGGGTGGTGTGTGATTGGAAGTTTGGATTGGTCATGATGCTGCCTATCCAAGGTGGGAAGTGCTCCAGCTGCATTCACTTAGACTTCATCTCATCTGTGGTGCACAAGCAATCTGCTCCTTGACTTTTGTGATGGATTTCTCCAAACCATACCACCCAGAAACAGATGCAGATGAGAAACATTTTGCATTTGGAACTCTGTTCAGTTCTGAACTTGCAATGCATTCTGTGCAATTGAAAAAACTACATCAAAATTTTGCAGATTTATGAAGTGTGCAAACAAGGCACACATTCCAAAAATGTGTTTAAAATGCTGTTTTGTCAGTGGGGGATTCCATCCATAAAATGCATGCCAGTTGCAAACTGCAGGCAAACATGCAAATCTTTTTCTTAATATGAACATAAAATCTGTATGAAATGAACTCCAAAAAACAAAACAAAACAAAACAAAGCCTACATCAGCTCCAAACAGACTTGGAGATGGGAAAAAGAAGGAATTGGTTGAAATGAACTTGCAAGGTCTGTCCATGACTACACAAAGCACAGTTTCAAAGGATGCTCAATCCAGACTTCTCTTCTACTCTCTCTCCAGATATGCATTTTAGTTTTCCAGGCAGGTGCTCTGTGGGCATTTGGCGATATTTGAATGAGACACTCAAAAAACCTAGTGCCTTTCAGGGTAATTGCCCTTCCCTAATTCCAGCCACTCTCATATATCATATATCTTGAGGTCATCAACAGAACTTACTGCTGGGAGGGCAAAAAATGACACTCCAATGAGAGAGAACGTCGCTGCTATGAGGCGTCCCTCCCATGTTTTGGGGGTTTTGTCACCATAGCCAATAGTTGCTAGTGTAATCTGTGGGGAGAAAGTTTGGGACAGTCTGTTAGAAAGACAAAGCACATTATCAAAGCAAAATATTTCTTGTACATTTCATTTCCACGATTCCAATTCCAGTTGCTCCATCTCTGAACTTTGGACCTCATCTTCTCTGAGAGCCTGCAGAAATATTTCCCACATGAACCCCAGCGATGTAACGGTCATGCTTTTGTAAGGTTTTCAATTTGTTTAGAAGATGTTGCAGGAGACATATTTTGCAAATTTGTACTCTTTTTTAAGAGATTGAAATTTCCTCCTTTCTTATTCCACAGTGTAACCCAAGGTAATACAGGTAACATCAAAATGATAAAACAACCATTCTAAAATCTAGAAAGGTTCCAGAATGCTCAGATGAATGATCTAAAACCAATCTCATCCAATGTGGTCACTGTAGACACTTACCAGTCCCCACCAAAGGGCATCAGCATAGGTCTCAAATTCTTTTGTCTCCTTCCCTTCTTCATTCTTTTCAGGCACGTCCTTCTCCACCAGGTAAACCAAGAAGGAGGAGAGGATCAGTGTCAGGAACCCAATGTACCAGGCAGTGATGAGTTCCTAGCAGGGAAACAGGGTAACTGCTATAAACAGAAGTGAAATATTTGACTCCTGGCCTTTGACCATGAAACTCCTAGTTCAGATCAGGCTTCAGAGTCCCTGATCACTGGAAGGAGGGACAATAGCTCAGTGACTGAGCAAATGCCTTGCATGCAAAAGGATCCGGGTTCAATCCCAAGCATCTCCAGATAGGGCTAGGAAAGAACCTTGCCTGAAGCCCTGGAGAAGAGTTATCAGTCAGTGCTGAAAGTGGATGGATGTCCAACTCTGTGGAAGGCAACTTCCTATTTTTCTGAAGTTTTCCTAGTTTCAGTCTGGTATCACTCACTTGTGTCAGGATCTGGGCCAGAATTGCTACTTCTGGGATTCCCTCTAGAACTGCATTGCTATGCATCCCGTTCTCCTTCCCAAGCCCTTGGTTCCCTCCAGGGTGGTGGCAGTCCACTGGGAGGGCCACACTCCCAGGAAGAGCCCAAAAATGCGGGCAGCCCATAGCAATGGACCAGGGCTAGGAATTTTCACCTCCTCGGAAGCAGGTCTTTTGTATATCCAACAGCTTTGGATAATTGTTGGAATGTGGCCTATATCTTGTCTCAACTCAGCTGGACAAACAAACCATGGTTTGCTCATCACACACAACCCACAGTTCACAACCCACTTCAGAAGCCCAAAACAAACCGTGAGGTCCTACCTAGGTTGTTCATGCAGCTGACTTCAAACTACGCGATGACTCAAGTTTCAACAGCAACTCATGGTCCAAGGACACTCTACCCTTGAGTGTAGTTTACGAAGCACTCTGGACTCAGCCAATTAATTGCCCATTCTAGGCCAGGACACACCAAAGTCCTTTCCTTCCAACAAATAACTTTGTTTGGCTTCTGGGGAAATTCATCCTGCCACCCCACAAGCTATTGTGAGTTAAGCTCAGGGGAAACAGGAAGTTTGTGGATGTCAGCACCCCTGATTTAACAAAAAAAGTGGGTGCTGTGCCCCTTTAGCCCCCTCCGTTACTTACTTTGCTGTGTGCACAAATGGCCGATCCCAGAAGTTTCCAGGTGCCCCCTCTCCTGTCCATCCGCAGCATCCGCAGGATCTGAAGGAAACGGAGACTTCTCAGGGATGTCGCCAGAACATTGCCTTGGTTGCCAACAGCCACCACTGGCACAGAGGCGATCAGTACGAAGATATCTGCGGAGCAAAACAATGCAACCAAAGAACAAATCCTGACAAGAAAGGTGGACAACCGGGGCTGGCATATGTCTTCTCTGAAGGTCCTATTGGTGCCGGATCGGAAAGGAAAATGGCTTTCTGCTTTCTGACCGTCTTCGCAGGCTTCTTTTAACATTCCGGCAGATACTATTAATTGTTTATGGATGGTTTGATCTGTTGGTTTGTTTTGCTGCGTGTTTCCAGGAGCTGCTGAACAGCAGCTGCATTCCTACAGCCTGCCCATCCGCCAGCCTTGCCTGTGTCCGTCTTGCGTCTCCACTGCTAAGATATCCACTGAGGTCTGAATGGCTTTAGACTGAAGGGAGATGTTTAAGTTCTGATGTGCCTCTATTTATATCATGAGAAGCTCCCCAGGTCATAGGCACTTCAACCGAGGCTCAAGAAATTCACTAAAATGGGGGTTATTTTTAGGATGTAACAGGGGATCTCCATTAAATCAGATGAGTTGAACCTCCTTCGTCTTGAGGACCAAAATCAGTTTTGGAGAAGCCCTCTGGGGCTGCATTACAACTAAGTGAGGCACCATGGATTGGCACAAAGGAAAAAAAGGAAAAAAATACCAACCATACCATAATATCTTAATTAAATCTTTATTACTAGTAACTAAGTCTTTCATATCAACCTTTTAGAAGGAAAAATGGTGCAGAAAAGCCAGGGAATTACCAACAGTGTGTGGTTGGGGATCAGGAAGGAGGGTCAGCAGGAAGGGGTGAGGTTGACAAAAGGGGGTGTGGCTAGGGAATGGGCGTGGCCATCTGGGAACCCCAGCAGGTCAGAGTGGAACCAATGCCAGTTAGATCTGACTTCTGGGTTCCTGGTTCTGCAGCTCTTTTTGAGGAGAAGCAGCCACACAAAAAGTTGTCCTTACCCAACATACACAATGGTTTCCTGGCAAACTTCAGCCTCCCTCGCCATCCTTTGTATCGACAGCAGCAGCCTGCAGCCCAGATCCTTAAGGCAAACTCTGCTCCAAAGATGAAAATGGCAAAGGTTTCCTACACGGAAATGGGAAAGAAATTACAAAATTAGGAGTTTTATGTGTACACCAGCAAAACGTGAGTCCAGGTTCTTTGAATTCCCTCTGGAAGCTCTTTCCAACTGATGTTGGATGATGAGTGCTGTTTTCTTCTTCTTCTTCTGTTTTTTCACAAGCACTTCTGCCTGTTTTTGTGTATTTATCAAAATGCACACATCCATGCACAAAATGTACACATCCAATGTATATGTTGGCTGGGCTCAAACAGTACAGAATGCCAAGATAGTTTTTAACCATTGTCGATCATGTTGGCTGAACTCAGTCTTGGTATTTCACAATGATGAGTTTGGGTTTTAGAAACCATGAAAAGGAACAGCAAAAGATGGAGGGCAATATCTCTTCTCACCCATCCCAGAGTGTAAGACACAGCTCAAGTTGTGGCAACCCAGCTTCAGACTAGATATCAGGAATGGAATGGTTTCATAACTGCCAGAGCAATACAGCAGTGGAACCAGCTGCCTGGAGAGGTGGTGGGCCCTCCCACACTGGAGACATCCAAAAAGAAACTGGACATCCATCTGAGTGGGATGGTGTAACTTGGAGTCCTGCAACAGCAGGGGGCTGGACCCAATGGCCTTCCTGATCCCCTTCCAACTCTACTGTTCTATGATTCAATGAACAGCAGCTTGTTCAATTGTTTCTTCACAACACCATGACTTTTTATGTAACATGTAGGGCTTGTTTCTTGCTGGAGTGTCTTGTAGGCCATTTTTTCAGGTCTAAAGATGCACAGAAATAAGTCTTAAGACTATCTCAAATTGGCTTCACAAAGCCAGGAAATCTTAGGCTGAAGCTTAGACAGATGCCTTAACCAATATGCCCCAAATTGTGCTTCCTTGCCCTCCGTACTTTTCCTTAATCTTTCAGGTGAAAATCCAGATGAGGACGATGGACTGCCTGGACTAACAAAGCTGCCCCACACTGTCCTTGCCCTGTACTGCCTTAGGAAGCATCTTTGCAACATGAATCTCCCTGTGAATTGGCCCATGCCTGTCTGTTTTTTAAACCACTAGCTGGTAGGATGGGTTATACGGTCAGAGGACCCTCTTCCAGACCCTTCACTATCCTGATGGTGCCTCAGTGCAGAAGACGCTTTTCTGTGGCACTGAATAAGAGGAGAATGCAACAGTGCAATCCTATACAGTCCTGCTCAGAGAGGGGTCCCACTGCTTTGGTATTTGAGATACTTGCTGGGGGTAAAACAGTCTTGTGGCGGGGCAGGCAGTGCGGTGTTGCAGTTGAAAAGGAGGGATACGTGAAAGGATCAGGACACCCTTCCAACACACCCCTTCATGCTTTCACATCGCATCCTGCCCACACCTCTTCAGAACACAGACGCATTGTGGGCTGAGGTCCAACTTCTCTAACTTTTTATTTCATGGGCTAACTTGATATTCTGTGTAAATCCCTGGGAGCATCTTTCAAGGGCAAGAAGCACCTGCATAAAAGTTCACTGAAGTTTAAACACTGCCGACACAAGGCATGCCCCCAAGCAGCATATTCCCCGAACGCCACACTGCCAAGATGCTCCATTTCTTGATGTCCCCTAAAAAGAAACCAAAAGCCCCCTTGCCATTTCTCATTATTGGCACCATTATCAATAACAGCAGTCCTGGGAGATGTATCTACAAGCATCATACCCCAAGTTGCTAACAGCAGTACTACTCCCATGCTTGCTGCATCAGAGAAGACCCCTCATACCTGGGAATCATCACAATCATCATTGGTATGATGTTATTCTTTGGCCTGGAGGCTCAGCATCTCCCTGAAGATCCTGTTGGGCACCAGACATCACACTCTGGGAAGGACCTCTGCACCACCTCCGAGCCCAAGAATCCAGCTCTTCCTACAAGCTCAGCCTCCAAGTGTGGCTCTCCAAAGGCTCCCTCCCTCAAAGGCTCCATCAGTCACACAGTCCAGAAAAACTGAACAAGGTCCCTTTAAAATTTGTATTCAGTACCCAGGGGGGTTGAAGCTGCTCAGGGACCTGGGCTGATCAGCCTCCTCAATCCCTCAGCCCCCTCCAAGTCCTTCTGTACTTACCAACAGCAGTAACCAATTTCCTGAAGCAGTTTCATATTCCTTGAACGTTGTCAGGACAGCCAAAATCAAGCATCCCAAGACTATCAGAAACCTAAAGAAGATATGAGGAAAACAGAAAGTCAGTAGATGTTCTAAGAACAGTTCCTTACAAGTTTAATGGCGGAGAGGAGAGGAGAGGAGAGGAGCCTCACAAACACATAACAAAAGCTGGATCACTGTTGTTGCACTGAATTAAGGCAACTGGCCCACAGAACAGCAAACCAGTGTCCAAAGGGTTCCCTTAAATGAGGCATTTCCTTCTGCTCTCGAGCAGGTCTTAGCTTCTTACTTGCTAGACTTTAGGTAAAACATTTTGACCTTTTGGAATGAAAGGCACCATTATTCATGCAGTCTCCTGCAGAGCAACTCATGCACGCTCCAGAGGCTACACAATACAAAGAATCAATAGGTGAGACCATGTAATCCGCTCAGGAATGCTCACGTGTGCCTCGAGTCTCCGATTTAAAACAACTTGATGCATTTCTCAGCTACTGTGCATCCACAAGTGAAACAGTTTCCCGCCAGCTCTCTGGCTGCAAGGAGCAGTGCTGAATAGATTCTCTCTGTGCTAATTCAATCACCTTCCTCTGGATATTAAAACCTGCTCCTGGGACCTGTTATGATTCATGTCACTCAACTATTATTAGTCACTCAATCACTCTATATCACTGTAAACTTTGCAACATCCTCTCTGATGTTAGCCTTACATTGTTCTATTTGTACTTGTATTGCCCTCTGTATTCATTCATCCCTCACCATCACCCTAAAAACTGTGTACATGACCCACAACTTATAAAAGCTCTGCATATGCTCTGGAAGCTTGTTGCCAGTTCCAAATACTGGCTACCTGATAATGCTGTTGTTTCTCTCTGTCAGAGAGGGGTCCCTGGGTGTTCTGCCAATAAACTGCTGAGACTGAGTGTAGTATCCTCCAGCAAATCTGAACATACATTTTCCTGGTCCTGCTAATTAAGATTTCCTGACATATGCAAGTTAGAAACTGTATGTACATCATGGAGCTGCATTTGACCATGGCTCTCCGCACTGTGGTGCTGAAAAAGACTACTGAGAATCCCTTGGACTGCAAAGAGATCAAATCAGTCAATCTTAAAAGAATCAACCCTGACTGCTCTTTGGAAGGCCAGATATTGAAGAAGAAACTCAAATACTTTGGCCACCTAATGAGAAGGAAGGACTCCCTGGAGAAGACCCTGATGCTGGAAACGATTGATGGCAAAAGAAGAAGGGGACGGCAGAGGATGAGGTGGCCAGATGGAGTCACTGGAGCAGTTGGTGTGAGCTTAGGTGGACTCCAGGGGATGGTGGAGGACAGGAAGGCCTGGAGGAATGTTGTCCATGGGGCATGATGGGTTGGGCACGACCTTGCGACCAACAACAACAACAACTTTGCATACACACTGAGGGAAAGGCTCTGCTACCATGTGATGGAACAAAGCTTACTTTTGGTTAAAGTTTTTAAGCAAGAATGAAAAACTTCCTGCATAACCTTCCCCTAATTTTTCTTCCCAAATATTAAGCATCCTGAAAAGAGTGCTGAATATGTGAAGAAATGGTAAATCAGTTGAGAAGCAAAAAGAAATTGTTCCCTTTAGTAATTTCCTGTTCATTCCGATATTTCCATTCAACTATGGGCTGTCATTGGTGGATATTCTAGGAAATGTCACAAAGGACAGCTCTTCATTTCAGGAACAAACTAGCCTCATTCACATAGTTTCAGAATACGGAGTGGAGAACAGGTTTCCACCTACTGACATCAGCCTACAATTCATGTGTATAAATATCCATTATTGGGGAATAAATACAACAACCACAGTCTCAAACAAGAATGGAATCATGAAGTGGATGATAACCCTTTTTGCCCAATAATGGAGTGCTCCATTGTTATTAATTCCACAAGGGATCCTGGATCTTAGGCCATAATTAATTCAGTAAAATTGATGTTCCAAGTATACTGGAGACAACAACTTCTCTTTGATAAAGGCTTAGTTATATCAGTCAATTATTGGAGGTCTAATGCTCCTAATGCTTTCCCTCTTCATGCATTTTGGAAATGTCTAATGGCAGCCTCTTTCTAGGCAGAGGTAATAATTCAGACAACTCTTGTGATGGAGACTTCTTTAATATTTAAGGATATCTGTGTTCCTACCTGTCCCTTGGAATTTAATGCAAGGTGAATATAAATGGATTTTCTTTATCCTTTTGACAGCTAAAAGACTGATATTACCACACTGAAAGTATAAATGACCACCAGCCATAACATAGTGGGTAGAAAATTTAATGAACCTTTTGACTTTTGCACTTTAGCCTTAAGTATAAACTTCATATGTATTTTTGGGTATCCTTTGTTTATGCACATTATTTTCAACCATGATTATATATTCTGTTAAATATAAACAAGAGTGATAAATAATTCATACATAATTCATGTGATGGATCTTTTTAAACCTTATCCCAAATAGTAATAATGTTCTAGTACACTTTATCTTTTTACTTCCTTTAACTACTTCGGTTATGTTTTTTGTCATGTACAATACAAAATTAAACACGGTCTACCTTCTGGCCTCACTCTGTTGCCTCCCCTGCTAGCTTTCCACAATATCCACGCACAACATGCTACTGTCTGCAAAAGAGGCCCACGTTTCATCAGCTACTCACATACTGGTGTCCCTGAGCAGGTGTCTACAGTGGGATGCAAGGCTGGCACATGGATGTGGGTCAGACCAGGAGGCACGATCTTGACCCATCCATGTAAGCATTTGCCTTCACAGGGAGGACATTCCTCAATATGGCAGATGGTTCCTGCTTTTCCATCAAGCTGCTCGTGCTCGTCCGCACACTGACCAGAAAAGTATGGTTTGTTGTTGCTAGTCGCGAAGTTGTGTCCAACCCATCACGACCCTATAGACAACATTCCTCCAGGCCTTCCTGTCCTCTGCCATCACCTGGAGTCCACCCAACCCCACACCCTCTGCCCCAGTGACCCCATCCAGCCACCTCATCCTCTGCCGTCCCCTTCTCCTTTTGCCATCTATTGTTCCCAGCATCAGGGTCTTCTCCAGGGAGTCCTTCCTTCTCATTAGGTGGCCAAAGTCTTTGAGTTTCATCTTCAGCATCTGGCCTTCTAAAGAGCAGTCAGGGTTGATCTCCTCTAGGACTGACCGGTTTGATCGCCTTGCAGTCTAAGGGACTCGCAGGAGATTTCTCTAGCACCACAATTCAAAGGCCTCAATTCTTTGGTGTCAGCCTGACCAGAAAAGTATGGTCACTGGGCAATAAATAATAAAAAAGACTTTTGACATTTTGATCATGTACCTGCTGTGGAACTATGCCTATAGGGTAGCTTTAATCCACATACTGTTCTGTAGTTTATTGGATCCAAGCTGACTGTGGATGATGGGACTAGTGGTCCAACACACCTGGCATGGAGATATCAAGGGCAGATAAATGTATTTCATGCCCCTTCCACCCATCTAACTCCATGCATGGACTCCATGGGCCAGTAAGTGCCATTCAGGATCTTCAGTCATATATCAAACAGCAAACTAGAGGGTAGGGAAAGAAATGGAAAATCCTGACGCTTCCTATGTCTCAAAATCAACTCAAGGAAAAACGAATGCTTGGCTTTGACCACAGGGAGGCAGCAAATATCTAGGTTCAGAGGGAACAAAGTAGATTGTGGACTCCAACTACTTTGACCAGGAATTGAAATTTAGCAAAAATGAAAATAAACTTAGTCTTTTTTTTAAGTGTTCAACTGTATGCATGGTTAGATAAGGGAAAAAAGTCATCTGTCTGCTGGTATTCCCCACCCAGCCACGCTGGCTGTTGTACGATTTTTCCGCCTAAATAAGCATATGTCTGTATCATTGAAGTATCAGTTTTGATGTCCTATAATTGTCCAAAAACATTAATTTTCTGCTAAGCATATCCAAGTGTCTGATAATTATGAAAGGACTCAATGAACATAAGAAGAAGAACAATGCTGGATCAGTCCAAGGGTGATGACTGGCCTTCTCAAGTTGCCCACCTCTGTCCTAGCCTGAGATACTCTGAGACTGAAGACCTCATGAGGAGATGGACAGCCTCAACCCAAAGGCCTACATGCCACGAAACCAAGTCCTGAAGCAAGAAATGTCACTGGGGAGTTGTTGGGCCTGGAGTTGCTATGTTTCTGGCCTGAGGGTGGCCCCAGAAGGATCTTTACACCTTAGCCAGGGAGCAGAACTCAAAAGCGTTAGCCAAGCCCAGGAAGAAAGACAATGGCTCATTTGAGACCGAGCTCTTGTTGGGATTAGCCCTCTGCTTTCTCGATCCTGTCCAACGTCCTGAAATACCTATCTTTGCTGTCCTTGTTTCCTGAGCTGCTCTTCTCCCCTCATTGACCCAACTTCTTGCCAGACTGGCATCTTCCCCACTTATCCTTGGGCTTTCCCTTATGAGGTCTGGGCAAAGGGCACTTTTACATACCCACCATATTCACACCAAAGAGCATAGCATTTCATACAGTGCTGCATGATATGTTTTAGGCTTACTTGTCCAGGATAATTGCCCATTGTTCCTTCGCAAGCTCCATTGACTCATGGGGAGAAAGAGGTGTGGCATTTCCTGATGGGAACGCCTCTGGTCTGCACAAGTCCTCACTAACAGAGAAGGCCCCTAACTCTTGTGGTATGGGGCTTCCAGGAGCATCAACAAAGAACAGTGATCCACCTGGGGCCACCACCTAGGAAGTTCAATAGATACTGCATTCTTTCATGAACAGTTTCCTCATGCCACTCCATCTCAAGGGCACTCTGCTTGATGATTGATCATCGTGTTGCACAGTTCCCTTATTAAAGAGAAGCACAGCCATGCCCTAATTCGTCTGGCAGCAACCATCAATGCATAATTGCCTCTAATTAAACTGTGGCACTGCAAGGGAGGGCAAGCATTACCACCCACCGCATCTTGGTCAAAGGAATTTCACCATGAAAGAGGCCATCAGCCCAAAAAGCCTCTGCTTTATAACCACCTTTTAAAGCAGGTAGAGCA